AAAAAAAAAAAAAAAAGAAAGAAAAAGAAAAAGAAAAAGTAACTTGGCCGAAGGCACAGGAAGTATAGTGGAGAGGTGGTAGTGAGCCCCACCTGAGAGGCCTACCAAGTAAAGGATGGAGGGCAGGTCCTTTCGTACAATGTTTCGTTATAACAACGATGGGATGCCACAGGGACTTAACTCCTGTTTGTACCAATCAGCCTACCATAAAACTGGTTTCATTACAAGTCATTTCGCTTAACGTCACGGAACCTATCAATAATATTAAGTGAGGTCTTACTGCACCTGAACAAGGCGGATATTAAGGGGAAGGTCCTCCTGCAGCTTCTTTCTGCCTGTCTCACTCGTAATTCTAGTTCTGGGATGAGAGGTATCTTCTAGTCATTAGACGCCCCTGATGGTTTCTGTGTTCCCTTTACTTCTTAATTTCTTTCTCATTACAGACTTCAAATAGGTTTTGAAAAGCTGAATGACACAAAAGAAATGCTCAAAATCTAGAGAGAAAAAGGACTAACTAGATAGACAACTAAAACCTCTATGCCCTTATAAGGAGTTGTGTGTATCTCATGTCTCTAGTATGTGTTGGCTGACTCCCCGACATCCATTCCAATTCAAATGATGACCGTGCCCATCATGTTAAACCCATTTTCCTCATGGCTTCAAAATGGACACGTGACCAATCCATGCCAATGAGATGTGGGGACCACTGGAGAGCGTCTGGGGGAACTGTCCTTGCTTCTAAGGGGAAAAGAAGGATGGTCCCTTTCCTCCTCTCAACATTTGCTCTATGTCATTCACTGTAAGACCCACTATTATTCTGTGTGCACTTAGAAAGGAGAAATGCTGCCAATTAACTTACAATCACACCACAGACTGTACAGTGAAGCCGGTCAGAGATAATAAAACATGAAGGAAAGAAGTGCATTTTTATATAAATAAAGAGGATCAGTCACTGGCCTACGGAAGAAGCCACCCCGTGGCGACAGCCAAACACCAAGAAAATCCCAGAGAAGCGGAACCTGGTCCTGTCTGACCAGGACGTGATGATATGTGAGACACAAACAGCCAAGTTCATCCCGAGTGTCCTGCTCCTGCCCATCAAACATCCTAACTGATAGAGAGATCAAAGGAAGAGATGACAAACAGGACACTGTAGTCTTAGTAAACGGAATAAAACATGAGAGAGCACAGGTCACAGCACAACAAGCTTCTGACTGACAAGTATCCTGACCATCTTGACTCTGCTGAAGGAAAGGGAGTTTTTAAAAAGTTACAATGAACACATGTGGTGACGAAACGGTCATCGACGGGTGAATGGACAAACAAAATGTGATATACATATACAAGGGATCATTCAGCCTAGAAATGAAATAAAATCCCGACACAGGCTACAACATGGGCATACCCTGAAGACATTATGCTAAGTGAAGTAAGCTAGACACAAAGGACCAATACTGTGTGATTCCACTGACATGAGGTAGCTAGAGTAGGAAAATATACACAGAAAGCAGAATTGTGGAAGCCAAGAGCTGAGGGGTGGAAGAATGGGGAGTCAGTGCTTAATGGGGACAGAGTTTCAGTTTGGGAAGGTAGATGGTTGCACAACAATATGAATGTACTCAATGATACTTAACTGTACACTTAAAAATGGTTAGAATGGAAAATTTTACATTATGTATATTTTACCATAATTAAAAAAGAAAAGTATGAGGTAATCTGGAAAAAAACCGCTGCATTTATATAAAAATTCCCTGTAGCAATAACAGCAGTTCTAAGTTGCTGCTCAACAGAATAAAGGGCCAGCAGAAGAATAAGAAATAAAAACCTATTAAAGCAGCTACTAAAATGTGCTTTACCTGATGGCTGGGACCAACACGAATTTCCCCCTGGGTGCTGTTCAGCCTCCTGTCATGAAAAGAGTAGATTAGGTTAGCAAATACAGTTTTGACATAAACATTCACACATTTTTCAAGGAAGGTAATTCGCTTCAAATAAATGAGGCGTAACTCAGGAAGAATTACCTTCTCCCCTATCTGTAATGTTGCCCTGCACACGCACACATCTCTAAAGCCTTTTTCTCCTGAAAACCCCGGTCCGGCAGCTTCCTGTCCTGAGTTCCTGTACCATCGTTTCCCCATGCCTCACAGAGACACACGTTCCTACAGCACAATCCCAACAGACAGCTCTTCTTTCTAAAACACTTCAGGGTCTCCTATCATAAACCTTATTGAAATGTAAACAAGGGCTGGCCGAGTGACACGTTGATTAAGAGTTGGCTTGGGATGCCAGCTCTGAGCAGCAGGGCCCCGGTTTGGATCCCACATGAGGGCCAGTGATGCTACGCCCTCTACAGCTAAGATGGTGAACAACAGCTCGACCTGGAGCTGGGCTGCTGTGAGTCGCCGGTGATGGCGTAGGCTGCAGTGGGGCTGGCCGGCAGCCGGCGTAAGCTGCCGTGAGCTGTAGTGAGCGGCCGTCCAATGGCCAGCAAGCGACTGCCTCACCCGGGAAGAGCACAATGATCACAATACCAACACGGGCCAGTGAAGTGACGTCCTCCAAAACCAGACTGAAGAACAAAAGGACAGCAACTTGTCTGTTCCCCTTCCCTGATTCCCCAACGCTGTTCCCCTCCCCCAATTCCCCAATAAAATCTAAAAAAAAAAAAGTGTAAACAAGATAGCTCCTGGTTGGGCCGGCCAAGTGGCGCGATGGTTAAGAACTGGCTTAGGACGCCAGAGGGCCCCGGTTCGGATCCCACATATGAGGGCCAGTGACACTGCCCTCCACAGCTAAGATGCTGAACAACAGCTCAACCTGGAGCTGGGCTGCCGTGAGTCGCCGGCGATGGCGTAGGCTGCAGCCCCTGTGGCAGTGGGTTGCCATGGGCTACCGTGTGTAGTGTGTAGCCAGCAGCCAGCGTGAGCGGCCAGCAGCCACAGTGAGCGGCCGTCCGGAAGCTGGCGACTGATCTGTCTCACCCGGGAAGAGCGCAATGATGGTGCCAACTTGGGCCAGTGAAGCAACGTCCTCCACAACTAGACTGAAGAACAAGACGACAGCAACTTGTCTGTTCCCCTTCCCCCAATTCCCCTGCACTGTTCCCATCCCCCCAATTCCCCAATTTAAAAAAAAAAAAAAAAGATAGCTCCTGGTTCCTCGCACACACATAGGGTCATTCACTCCTTTCATTCATTCAACAAATACTTATTAAGTACGGACTATAAGCCAGAAATTGTCCCAGGTGTTGGGAATGAAGATTGACCAGAACAATGTCCTTGCCTTCCTAGAACTTATACTCTAATTCAGGTTAAAAACAAAGAAACAGATAACAGGTCAGAGGATGATAAGGGCCAAAGAATCAAGTAGATGGTAAATGATGACATATTTGTCAGCTCTTTACACAGGACAGTCAGGGAAAGCCTTATGAGTGAAGTGACACTCGAGCAGAGATGAAGACGCAAGGGAGTGAGCACAGCAGGTCCGGAGGTGACAGAGTTCGGCTCCTTTCCGTCTGAGCCATTCTTGGGGCAATTGCAATGCCCATCCTCCCTCACTCCAAATCCTAACATCCAGGGTCCTTTTCAAAGCCACTGTTTCCAAGCAGCCTTTCTCTATCTCCTCTCCATTTCACTCCCCACACCCACAGAAGTGTGGGGGGGTCTTCCTCTTTTACTCCTTCGTGAAACACTCACTGAATAGCCTTCTTGCTCCGGGCCCTACACAGGGCACTTACTAGGTAGGTGCAAAGTGGTGGATGAAGTAATACAGCCCCTGCTCTCCGGGGCGGAGCGCCCAGTTCCCAGCTGCCTGCTCCCCTCAGTGTGAGTCCCGACTATCGGTGACACTAGGAAAACCCTTTCTGTGCCCAGTGACAAGTCTTTGTGGTGTTGACAATAGTGCCTCAGAGAAGACTTGCACACACGAGAGCTGCTCGATAAATACTTGTTGACTTGGACTGAGCTTAAGAGCAGAACCAAGCAGCAAAGGACCAAGCAGGAAATACAATCTCTTGTTTTTCTCCCATGTATACTTATGTTTGAAGTTGTTAAAATGAATTTTGAAAAACTATGATTTCCTTCAGAGGCCTTGGGTCTAGCACTTGCCTCTTTTAATCTAACAATTCTTCTCATGACAAGTCTTATTTTGGCAAAGGTGGGCAGTAGATATGACAAAGGAAGAGAGATGAGTAGCAAAAAGAAAAGAAGACGTGTGTCCAGTACTCATGAGCTTACAACCAATCCATCTACCAGGGGAAGAAGCATCCACCCCACACACCAGGACAGGTCCAATCGCTATATTCATAAGCACCGAACAACAGTTCAGGAGAAACACTACAAAAAATCATAAGGGCAGTGACCAAAATTAGGGAGTCTTCAAAAGCAGACAGTCTATGAAGTGGTTAATTCCAAAGAGGCCTCTGAAGGAGACAGCGGCACAACACGGGGCGAAACAGTGAGTGGACTTCTGGAGTGGGACAGACCCCGTGGAGGTGGCAGGCTGAGGGGGGTCCGTGGCAGGAGAACAGCTTGCCTGAAGTGCTGACTTCAAAATACAAGTCATCTTCGTTTCTTCAGTAGGCGAATGACCCAGAAGCTAGAAGGTTAAGTCTGTTCTAGTAGTTTTATGTAGGCATTCCAAGAGGTTGTTTTAGGAGATCCGTAGAGGAATCAAATAGGCCAGGCAGCTATTTTCATCACGAAACTTCTTTAAGAAAAACAAGCAGTCAGCGCGTTACTATTTCTCTTCCAACTTGTTTGTTTCGTAACCAGCTATGAACACAACTAGCTGCCAAAAGCTCTCTCCTTTATTTCTAAATACTTTCCAAATGCTTGCTGCCTACACGTAAGTGTAAGTCGAGCCAAATGGATCATCTCAGGAGGCTTCGGCCGCAGCCCATCCAGTAACTTGTGCCCATAGCTCAACTTTCAGGCTCTTCCAGAAGATCTATGAGATGCCAAGGTGCCCAAGTGGTTGGTTAGGAAAGCACCTCCCCATTGCTGCTCCACACGCTGCTAAGTCCTTCGCAGTTCCAGGACAAACATTCCTGGTTCATTCTGTTTGAATTCTTTTTTCTCTTTTTGATTTTTGTGTTTTTTATGTTTTTTCTGTAATGTTTTACTAAGCCAACATCCTATTTAGCTAAAAAATGTAACACAATAAAAACAAACCCCAAAATACCTTATTGAATAGAACTACTTATATCCCACTTATTTGTGTAAAAATTGAGGCTAATAATTATTAATACTGCTTATAAGTAGACAAAAAAATGTTTTGGGTATCTTAAGAGCCTAAATTAGTTTCACCCTTCTATGTTTATATCCATGAAGGTTACTAATATGATGAGTAAGTTAAAAAGCACCAAAAAAAGGTAAAACAAAGAATCTTTTTAAAAAGCTTATTTGAAAATCAATTTGACAACAAAAGCATTTCTTAATCATAGGTACCTTTCAAATGTTAGGATTTTATACCAAGAGGTTCAATCAAGTTATTTTTGAGCAGAACTGAGATCCAAGACAATGGCATTAGCTCCCATATCCAGGAACTCGAAAAGACAGAATAAACAGCAGAAATACTTTTTATGTCCAAGATACAAAGAGGTAGAGAGCAACACACCCCATTAGAGTGAGCTGGGTCCACCCAAGAGAAAAGCTGTCAGAATATGAACTAAAGATGAAAGACAAGGAGGGGGCTTCATGGGAAGCTGCCGGTATCCAGCTGTATCTGCGAGCCACAGAACAATCACCACCCTCCCTTCTGTTGACAGCAACCAAACACCAAATTAACCGTCCCTCCCTGGTTGCCTCACTGCTCCCTCTCTCTGAAGCTCCTTTTGTGTTTCACAAAGCACTGTTACAGGATAATAGCTCCTATGACTAACTTGGACATTTCCTACCTCTACCCACTCTGGGAATGCAAGCTTCTAGAGTGCGAGAACTGATATTTAATTCATTTTCTGTGTCCCCCAGAATCTAGCACAGTGCCTGCGTGGCATTATGATGCATTCAGGCAAACTGGAAGTTCCTTGGCTATGTGAAGATCTCTGGACACTAAGATGTGAAACCTGACAAAAACCACCAGGAATTATTCTTTAAATGTAATATCAGCGGCTTCTAGAAAACACTCAATAATCATATGCTGACTACTACATTTTCCATCCTACGTAACACGACAATTCTCAGACTTTTTGGTCTCTAACCCCTTTACGCTCTTTAAATTACTGAGCATCCCAAGAAAGTTATGTTTTTGAGAACTTTCAAAATATGTGTTTGTTTGTTTATGGCAATAAACTCATTATGTATTAACATGTGTAACATATTTTTATGAAAAATAATTATAAACAAAAAAACATAGTGAAAATAAACTGTTTTACATTTTTTCAAATCTCTTTAAGGGATGCTCATAACTGCTTCTACATTCAATCTGTTGCAATATGTTGTTTTGGTTAAAGTTTATGAAGAAAACGTAGCCTCATACAGATATATAACTGGAAGGTGGAAGAATATTTTAATATCTTTTTGATAATGATGGATATTCTTTTTTATACTACACCAAAACTCAACAAGTGATTGTTTCTTAAAGCTTTTGTACAATGTGAATACAAAACCTTATCAGTGATCCTGTGGACTCTTTTAAAATTGAATCCGTTAGCCTATGCTGACCTCTGAATGGATCCTCTCCCCAGACACGTCTTTGTAATGTCACATACGCATTGGTTAGATGGAAAATATTAGTTCACTAAGTTATGCCTACCTTCCAAATAGCAACACAGCTCATTATCCAATTTTTAAAAAATCATATTCATTAATATCACCACCCATCTCATAAGGAAAGCCTGTAGGTGCACAGAAGCTGTCAAGCTCAGAGTGGTGGGTACAAGTTTTTCAAAATTCTAATTTTTCTTT